TTATCATCATTAATACTTAATTATGCTGTATTTGTCAGTCAATATTATCCTTCCACCCACAATATCATATTCGTTATCTACATTGTTTTGCAACGAGCTAATAAAATGATAATAACATTTTCAAAAATAGCAGCATTTGATTCATGAAAAACAATTATACGTAGTGTTTTTTTATAAAATAACTGTACTGTTATTTGCTATCTTGTTTTTCGGCTTTGGTTGTAGGTTGTGTTGTTTGTGCGTCTTGATGCTATAGGTTGCGAATCATTGTATTTGCCTTTAGTTATCGTTTGGGTGTGTTTGTAGACCATCGTTAGCATGGTTCTTGGTGTTCTAGTTTGGTTGTGAGCTAGTCAGCTCTCTGGACTGTTCTGTATTTGGATATTTTATTGGTATGAGATTGTTTTATCGTTTGAAAAAAAAAGAAATTAGCATATATACTGAACACATTGAAAAATTATGAGATCTTCACGCGATTGGTGTTGTGCTATCGAGTAGCTTGAAACATTGTTAGGGCGTGTAAGGAACAACGGGTATCTCTATATTGTTCGGTCCGCTCTTGGTACGTCTCGCTTTTATGCACACGCTTGCTATTACTTGCTAAACTAATAATTCGAGAATTCTTCGAACTGAAAGCGTTTTATTGGAGACGGTGGTATTCTTTTGCTGCTGGTGGGGGAGGTCAATTACACCTTCTCTCTCCATCTAGTCGAGTCTCACTTTACTCTATTGCAGAAGTTGTAGTAGAACAATTTTATTTAGTGAAAACCCATTTATACAATTGACTAATACAATTTATTAGTGAAATGAATTATTACATTATGACATATTTGACCCATTTGGATGTTAGCGGATTGATGTAAATTAGTGAATTAAACCTTATTTAGTAGATTTACATATTAGATCCATTGTTTAATTCATTTGATAAAGAGTTCATTTGATTAAAACTCAATGTACGATCATTCTGGTGAGAGGTAATTCGTATAACACGACAACTTAACATTTCCAAGATAAGTATAACATGACAACATAACATTTTCCAAGATAATTATACAAACTACTATTTAAATAATACTTATTTTACGAATTGCTAGTCAAATTAGTTGTTACAATTCATTATTAATTATTCACTAAGCCAATATTTCTTAGCAATCATTTCATATTCTCCCAAAATAAGTGAGTTGTATAATTTTCCATAAATCTTTCAACTGAGTAGATTTTATCACATTTTCGTAGTCGAGATCAATCAATTAATCACACTAGATGTGGTCGATTATATGGATCACATGTCGCTATCATGCTCGATCAAAACACATATCTTCATTCAAATTAAAATCTATCCTCCCAAAATAAGTGAGTTGTATAATTTTCCATAAATCCTACAATTAAGTAGATTATATCACCTTTTCATAGTCAAGATCAATCAATTAATCAACAACCCATTAACATCTCACTAAATGAAGTCGATTATATGGATCACATGTAGCTATCGTATTCGATCAAAACACGTATCCTCATTCAAATTTAAATATATTGAATTATTTTTTATTATCATTTTATGAAATTTCTTAGACCTGCTATCGAAAAATTATATGCAATGATGGAAATAATATTATTATGATCACTTGATCAGATCATTTTCTCTCTCCGCGTCCTTTATTTTTTTTTTTCGAACATAATAATAAAAATTACAGTGTACAGACAGATAATCTCTTATTATTGCACTCACACTTTGGACTTCTCTCTCTCTCTCTCTCTCTCTCTCTCTCTCTCTCTCTCTCTCTCTCTCTCTCACTTTTGGCACTTTTAAATACACAATTTTTTGTTCCTCATTCTCAAACCCACATACACATTCTACCCGAAAACTACTCATTCCCTAATCCCACATTCTCTGGGTTTTACCAAATCCATCCACAAAACCAAACACAGGATTACTCAATCAAACAAAACAAAAGAAAAAAATGCCGCTAGCGATAAGATTAGCGGCTCTGTTATTGTTTTTCGCCATTGTTGCAGCCGAAAATCCTTACAGATTTTTCACTTGGAATGTCACTTACGGTACTATTTATCCTCTTGACGTCCCCCAACAGGTAATACTTTTTATTTTATTTTTTTTTATTTTAATTTTTTTTTTTAATTTTTGTTGATTATATTTATTTATTTATTTATTTATTTATTTGGTGTTTGTTGAATTTTCAGGGTATTTTGATAAATGGGCAATTTCCTGGTCCTGATATTTACTCGGTCACCAATGATAATATCATCGTTAATGTGTTCAACAGCCTCGATGAACCTTTCCTCATTCATTGGTAACTAACATATAAATTAACGACAAAATTGCATTTTCAGTCCTACTGATTTAACGTCGTGACCTTTTTAGTCTCACGATTTCAATTTTTTGTCTTTTGATAATGTAATTTAGTATTTTGTTTCAATTTCAATCTTTTTGGGAGTGAAATTGCAACAAAATTCGTATTTATCCTACTTGAATTGCTAATTAAAAAATCTATTTAAATGATTTTTTATTACCAACTTAAGTCTGTTAAATTTAAATTTTGTTGCACTTTCGGCGTTGAATTTTAAAATTATAGGATCAATTAGTAAAAATGTTCATTTTTTAAGACTAAATACACTACTTGATCAAATCAACATGATTAAAATTACAATTTGGCCTAAAGTTCAAACATACTTTATTATTTTTTATTTTTTTAAAACTAGCTCAATATTTGTGTTTAAAATGCTCATCTTTCTAATTTTAATTTTTTTCCCTGGAGTCCGGGAAAATAGGATTTTCTTGCGTTTGAACATTTGACTCAGTATTTGTACAAATAATTGCTGATTTATTTTGATTTTTTAATTCTATGAGACTGGGAGATCTTGTGTGCTGTGGTGTATATTTGTTGACATTTTTTAATAATTAATGATTAATCTGCGTAATTATAATTTTTTTTTTAGTTTTTAATTTGGATAAGCTATTGTACGGAACAGTAAAAGGCAGTAATTAGTAGTATAAATTTTACCGTGTGTCCTTTTACTGGGGTCGTGAAAATTGAACACGTGATGTGGACGCAA